GTTAAAACACTGATAGACACATTTGAGCATAACAACAGACCTGTAATGCGCTATTTACAGCTTGAAGAAAGAATACCATTAAGCGAAGAAATAAAACATTTGCACGATGATCCAAAACCGGTGTCTGTTGATGGTAATTTAGCGAATGAGTATGAATCGCCTAACATTGATGAAGAAAATGGATTTTACACAGCAAATACAGCTGTCGAAACGAGAAGTTTCGTGTATGGAACCAGCGAACAACAAGGCTGTGCTGATGAAGTTAATCCCGAACACTATGTCAAGTCCGAATATTATGTAGATACATCTGGAGTGAGTGTTACGTCTAAATACGACAATATATCAGGTTTCGCAGATCAAACTGGAAAAAGTGATAGGTCTGAACATGGCAACAGATCTGATTATGCCGATCAATCTCAAATCAACGATAAGTCTGAGTACGGTGATAGATCTGAATGTGCAGATAAATCAGGGATCACAGATAGGTCTGAATATGGTGATAGATCTGAGTATACCGATGACGTTTCATTATCATTTGACGTTAGGGGTGATATGAAATTTCAAACCATTAGGCAATTGGCCACTCCGGATAGCCTAGAATCTAGTATGTTGTTCGCTCAGAAACAGAGCTCACGGGATGAACGTCATCAAGAGTACAATAATACTATTTATAATGCACCACGTAAAACAGCAGGCAAGATAAATATTCGACCGTTTGATATTTGCACGTTCTTGGAGTTCATAATTTATATGTGCAACGAATTAATGTCCTTTCCAATGTATGCATGTTTTCCTCTTACAGAAACCGCCGTTTGATATAATCTTTCAAATGTTTAGTTTTGTAAAACTATAATAATGGCTCAGATTTAGATGAAATCCTTAAATGCATAGCAATAATGTCACGAAGAGTAGGCACATGAGTTAAATTTAAATATGAGTAGGTAATCATAAGTATTTATTGCTATAGAAAAGTTCAAAACACAAAAACAAAACTAAGTAGAACATTTGTTTATGCGTATCAACTTAACGCATATTTAGATAAATTAAAAATAGTACTACCTAAGTACCTAATAGGTACTTGGTGCATAGTTAAAAAATACAGTTATATTATTAAATATTATAAGAATATTATGGAACGAATCAGTGTTGCGTTTAGAATCTAATAATTTATTAGGCATTATTTAGGCATACACATAAAGCATAATATTAAAAAAATGAATTCCTGGTGAGGAATTTTACTTCGAATTAAAATATAATTTTATTGACATTTGATATAAAAGTAATAATAATGTTATTTCAATTTGGAATTCTTTTTTTATTTTATTATAAAAGAAAGTTTATTTACAATCTGTTATTTATGTTATACAAACTATAAAATTAGATAAAATAAATACTATAACAAGACAGGAAAGTGGAATACGCCCATTGGTGGCACTCCGAAAATTTGGAAGTTGAAGGGTTAATTTTTTTGTTGTTTTCGATATACCTTTGTGGAATTTATTACTTAAATTGTATTTGTTTAACAATTAAATTGTGAAGTGCATTATATATAATATAGTATTACGAGTATAATGTTGGTATTTCATTTACAGATCCTGCATATGTGGTTCCGTCAAATTGTAATCAGTCAACTAATGTTCAGTTACCATCATATAAAGACTACTTATCATTGAGTAACTATAATACCGCGCCCAGAGGATGGAAAAAAGGCGAAACAATATTTTATAGACCAGTGACATTCAATAACCAACCAAATCGTGAAGATAATCGCAGAAAAAGCTTTACCGACTTCTGATGCCCCATTTGAATGTATATTATCAATATTAATTAAAATGGACAGTTTAACGTGAGATGATGATAATATAATATCATATAAGCGTGATTTAAATTACTTTACCTGGTTGCAGATTTAATGAATTGACAGGTTTCAAACATCGTTGGTAAATCGTAAAATGTTCGATTTTTTTTTACATACATTAACTACCAAGATTTTAAAATGCTTTCAAGTTGTGTTATATATTATTATAGATAATAATTGTAATAATTGTTTATTTATTTATTTATTTATTTTTTACTGTTTGACAGTGTTCATTATTTGTTTATTTCATATCGAAATAAAAGTCATTTTATCAAAAATAAAAAATAAAAAAAAACAACTACTTATAATATATTATGCGTTTTTTACACTTTATTCGTGTTGTATACCTACATGTAATTAGTATGGCTACTCGTTCGTTAACCTAAGTAGTACGTAATACCTACTAATAAAGATAATCAGAAAAATCAGTGTTTTCCGTTTGGTATAGTGTCCATATTTAAATCTGTACCACAGAAGTCAACTAATGCAAGTCCACTTTTTTTTAACTTTTGAGTTAGTTGTATAATCAAAATATCGTCGTTGCCACCAAAAAACCTCCAATGTGCTAAAACCTAATTTTTCGGGACAGAAGAAAAACGTTTTAAAAAATCACAAATCATCAATGATTAATGAAAATACATTTAAAAAACGTAAAAAATTATAAATTTTTATTCTAAAAAAATAGAACTAAACAACTTAATATATTATATGTGTTTATTGTACAAATTGTCAATATTTCATCACATAGGAGGTTATGTTAATCAATGTTTTTTGCCAAACAGTACATAGGAGGTTCTTTGAATAATAGTTGGTGCCAGAGAAATATGTATTTTGAATGATTTTTAAAAAAAAAAAACTGAGTTGTGTTATCTAAGAAATAAATATTTATTAAAATATTATTATTGCATAAAATACTTAGCATAATAAAACAAAATAACTTTAATTGTTATTTATGAACAAATTGAACATGGAAAAATCTCCCATGTGCATATTTCATACACGACACTACATCTACTCTGAATCTATAATGTAATTTTGACCAAATTTTTAATCACATAAAAGGTATTTTACATAATTTGAATATATATTTCATTAATTCTGGAAATAGCACATTGGAGTTTTTATCAAAATGACCGCCTATTTTTTTTTGAATCCAGGGATACCAATATCTCAAAATCGCATATTTGCCACATTGGAGGTTTTTTGGTGGCAACGACGGATATGCTTCTTGTGATATTTTTAAATATATTACAACTTAAATCCTAAATACAATAAATGCATACATAGCAAGAAGTATACTAACTCAAGTCCTAAACTATGATGGGAGTATAGAAACGTATGTCCAGCGTTTACATGATAAAAGTAACAAAATAATATTTTTGAAGTATACAATTTTAAGTCCATTGAACAAATATTTTTGTTTCGTCTCTCCTGTAAAATTTGCTTTTTGTGACATGAGTTACTCAACTTTTGTGGTACAGAAATATAAATAAGTAAATAACACTAGTATAATCAAAATTGGAAATAATAAACAACAATCAATGGATGTGTTAAATGATAAATCATTGTATAGGTACGTAAAACTATTCTGAGTGAAAACTATTTGTTTTCTAAAAATATTTCTAAGAGTATTTTATTGTATATTTAATGTATTGTTCTATTAGTACCTTAATAGTAGTCAATGGTAGTAATACTATTGATTGAACTAATTTTTGTCAAAAACAAATTTATCCTATCAGAAACCACCCTCAATGTTGAAGATCGAAGGTTTTTTTTATTATAAAAAGTGTTTTCAGACTCAAAATTAAAAATACACATCATTGTAAAATTAGTACATTCGTCATCCCTCTCAAAATATAACATTTTAAAAGAATATTTAATCTAAAATGTTTTGAAAATTATACCATGTTCAGTAAATTTAAATATTTAAGTAAATTTAAAGTATATACGGTTATTCGTATTGATAATTATTATGGATGCTGAGAAAGCTTTGTGTTGCATAAATATTTCCATTTTTCAGTAAATTTTGATCAAGTTAATTTTTGATAACTTTTTGAAAAAAGAGGTTCGGGGAATTTGTTTATTTAATCCCCAAAAGTTCCAACTATATCCAATTTGTTAACAGAACCAATCCTCATAGTTTGAATCATTTTTCCGCTGTTAAAAGTGTCTTAAAAGAAACAAAAAAAACACATCACTATAAAACCGATGCCTGATAAATTCATTCATCGCTCTGCAAAAAATCTAAAACGGGGAAAGTCGTTCTGCTATATTGATCCGATTTTTTATTCACAAACAAAAATAGTAAATAATAGATTGGAAAAGAAACAGTTAAAGTTTTCTTGAGATGTCTGTAAATGTTACTATTTTATCAATAATGAATCACCTTCAATAATTAAAACATCCTATACAGTAGGTTAGAAATTTTAGACTCATACAATATTTAGATGTCAGCCCTATCGTTAAAAGTCGTTAAAACTAAAATATTATTATGTTTTATGGATTTTGAAATGAAACTCAAATTTGTCACCGAGTAGAAACTTATATATACGTCACATCTCATTTTTCTCATCACGTAGGAACTTGCATATATAATTTTAAACCTACTAGATTCGTGTAAGAACTTCACATTAATTTAAATAAATTCATTTTTACTTATTTACTTTATACGAACTTCAAATAAAATATTGAATGATACACCGGGTGAGCCAAAAAGCAAGATTTTATTAGTCCATTTATTCAAATATTTTGAGTGTTATCAGTTTGATTTTACTTATTTTAACAATCTTTAGACTCAACAATTATTTAATTGGTTTTAAAAATCATTCAAACATTAATAAATATCACTCGGCAAAAAAGTATATCCAAAAAAAATATTTTACAATATTTTTATACTTTTCATATTATGTGTTTATAACATAAAAGTTATAATTTTTAAAATGTATCAAAGGGAGAAGTCTAGTGGAGTTTTAAAATAAAGCAATCTTATTAGGTTTTACTTCACTAGATCGCGCAACTTATTTACCATTGTATGGATAATAATTTTTGATTATACATTTTACAATTTATTAGTTGAACGTTTACCTATTAAAAGGTTTATAGCTTAAAATTAAAATTGATTATTTTATTGTTCGTAAACAGCTCATTGTTTTCTTATTGTTTCTGTGGGGTATGTAATGGTATCAAATGTACGCCAGTTGTGATTGTTCATTGAGATTTTTAATTTCCGCTGAATCGTTGATGTAGTATATAACGATTTGTTTCTGGTTTGTGGATAGAATGTAATAATTGATTTATCGTCTTTTTTGTCTTTTTTATTCTTATATTCAATTCTATATGGATCAATGTAGCGGTCATCCGAATGACTGGGCCACTTTTCGAAACCATTTCCAATCTGAAAAAAAATGAATTCCTGCTCACTTAACTATTTAAAAATATAAAACAATTATTATAATCGTAGTTGTATAAATAAAATGCCAATAAATAACGTCACTATTATTCATTTATTATTATTAAAAAAAACACGTCTTGTTTGTATGTTTTTACTTTTTCTAGTATTTAAACATTGTATAATACTATAATGTGCTAATTATTCATGCATGCATACTATATAAATAATAATAACTACCTGTCTACCTATTTGTATTTTATAATGTAATAATTATTATACTCTGAATAATAGGTTAAAGGGATTTTATACCATATCTAAAAAATTAGTAATGGATACCCAAAAGCGATACAACAGTGTAGGGCCTTTGGATTTTATTTCTGAAAACGGCTCTGAAATTGCTGTTTATTCTACAAGTAATCAATCTGGACATTTTTTCATTTAGTTCTTAAAGGGTGCACACAAATTTTAAAATTAAAAACGGTTTTTGTTTTAAAAAAAACCTATACAAGTTTATGTTATTTTATTTCTAGAAAAAAACCCTCAGTCGACCACTTACAGACAAATCAAGTAAATAAGATCTTTTTCAGAATTAATATCTGAACGTTCAAAGTCATGCCGTTTTGTCTAGCTTATAAGCATTATTAATATGAGCTTTTGATAAAAAAAAATATCAAATTAATTAATTATTATGTAATGCATAATAGTGGCATGTAAGTTCACATACGGGAGCACTCACCTATTTATTTTATACACAGTCAGTCACACTGATGATCATTTACTCAGCATACGTTTACAAGACTTACATGCACACACATAGAAATTTCTTATACTGAACTTCTTAAAAATTGTGACTATCGAATCCCCCGGTATCGAATACTATAAAATTATTCTGAGTTGAGCTACTGGAAAATTTTTACTTTTGACCCCCCCCCCCCCCCCCCAAGTACCAACTAGATTCACTTTCCTATCAGAAAAGATAATGTTGAAGAGAATCCAAGCACTTTTACTCTCCTAAAAGGTGATGACAGACACAAAAAAAAAAAAAAAAAAAAAAACCACACATCGTTGTAAAATCAATACATTCATCGTTTCACTCAGAATCTAAAATAAAAGTGAATGTCAGATAGGTTTTTATAGAACCAATATGTACCCCGATTCACAATAACAACCCAATGGGTATTATATAGGTGTACATAACGAATGAAATAGGTATGGCAATAAGTACCTATATGAGTATTAGTTAGTTATTACATTGTGGGTACAAGAAATTTTATTGACCAAGTTTAAAATTTTTACAATAATGCAAAAAAAAATATTAAATAAGCATGATACATGTGCGCGAAATATTACTTACGTTATTTATTGTTGAAGGTGGCAGAAATGGCGTTCCTTTAAATTTGGTTTTTGAGATCTTGTTGTACGTCGGCTTTTGATCATCACTAAAATAAGGATTTTTTTCAAAGAACTCGTAGGAACCACCAGTTAAAAATGGTGAAGCCTTGTTTAGTTTATCTTTTATATTTTGTTTTTTCACGTCATTATATGGACTTGACCTACAAATAAATATTTTTTTATAATTAATTTTATTACAATCGAGGCAAAGGGACCCAGATCTAAATTATTTAAAATCACGTAAAATATGGGAACACTAGTTTGAGCTACATAATTATTAGTGTACCTATCATATTGTTAGTGTACGAATCAACGAATCATTAAATATTATCAATGTAATAAATCATAGTAAAGTCTATATATTTTATCTTCATATATTTTGATTATAATAATATGTTCATAATTATTAGACAAAAATAAATTTTTACTTATGAAAGGACTTACAAACATTTTGTCCTCATAAGATAAAAAAAAATACGATTTTTGAGGGATCGTATATTTTTAAAAAGACCAATTTCAAATATAATTTTTTCGTTGTATTGGTATTTTAATGTTTAGTTTATTAATGAAAGGTAATAGTCGTCTTATATTGTTATAGTGAGTTAATTAATGAAAATTATAAAGTCATGAACTAGTTTTTTAATGTTTTCTGAAAATTTCATTGTATTGACTTTGCTACTTTAAACTAAGTAATATATTATAAAGTTAATGTATTTTAGATTCTGAGTGGAGCGAGGAAACTAGTGGTTTTACGGTGGTGTTTATTTTTATTTTTTTATCCTGTATACAAAATTTCTACCAGAAGGAGTGCTTCGATTTCAACATATAGTATATTATAATTTAGAAAATTGGATGAACATGGTAATTTAAAGAGGTAATTTTTCAATTTTCTCAATAGTTAATTAATGCCACGGGAAAAACCACCGAAAAATTACGAAAAACGGGATTTTAATTTCTAACGCTTTGTTTATCAACATAGAAACGAATAAAAAATTGTGACGAATTTGTATTTTTTATAATATAAAATATCCAGACTGACAAACCGCCACCCCCCCTCTCAGAATCGTTTTTGATATACAATGATATAATGTAATTGAATTCAAATTTATCACAATCCATTGTACAGTGAGCCACTTGTAACCTACTGTACAGCAGATCGGCATCCACTTACCCGCTTTTTACTATTTGAACTTAATATTTATTGATATTTAATTATAGTTGTACATAATTTATAACCATATCAATAGCCTATATTATATTAGCCTCTTATTTATAAACGTCCATTTATTGCAATCTAAAATTTTGATTTACTCTACTTACTTGTATTCAGGGAACGGACTGAAACCAATATCCGTATATCCAGGTCCTCTTGTATTGGTTGGTTTAGTTAAGGCGTTTGGTGGGAGCTTTTCTTTCTTTGGTGAAGTTTTGGCATTAGACATCGCTAAATCAATAATTAAAATATAGGTACATTTTAGTCTTGGTAAACATTAAAACTATTGGAAATAAAATTATATTTATTCATATGAACCTGGGAGCTTAGGACCAAATGTTCCAAAATGATCACCAGCAGTTGAATGGTATTTTGCAGGACCTGTAGGTATAAATGGATGCGTACTAACTTGTTTTTTCTTATCACTTGTAATATTAAAAAAAAAAAAAATTAGTTATTTCAAAATTGATATCTATTCGTAATGTCAAATAAAATAAGTTATAAACAAAAAAAAATCGAAAGTAAATATTAATTATAATAGAACAATATTTCCAGAATTAAATTTCTTTTTTAAAATTAATAATGAGATATTTTATGGTCGATATAATTCACACAGAATATAATTAAATATATATATATTATCAATCTATTTAAACACTTAATTTATAACGAAACTGGGTTTTAATAATTATAATTTTATATATATGACCATTAAAATTGTTTAGTATTATTTTATCAATAATTTCAACATTTATAAAATTATCATATTATTAAGCCGCCGATCAAATTCAAATTTTAATGAAATGTATTTTGTTTTAGAAATATATTTAAATAAATATTACAAATAATATGTAAATTACTAATCACTTCATAACAAACAGTCCTGTTGGTTGTGGTTTCCATTTTTCATTTTCATATAACCTTTTATATTGTGGTTCAAAATAAGCGTCTTGAAGACCTGTTTTAGTTTTTAAAGTACTTGGATACATTTGAGACTTTTTCAAATCCCGTATATTATCTTCTACAGGTCATAAATTATAATTGTATACATTAAAATGTTTAAATATCATACATTTGAATAAATGACACTTGAACAAACTTTTATTAGGATACTTATCGCCAATCATATATGGCATCTCCGAAAACAAACCAATACGCTCCATGTCGTATTTTCCATGGCTTTTACCAATGTCTTCAAAAGTTGGACGTGCTGTCATTATAGTAAAGGTATTTTGAATTATTTAGATAAAGTTATAAAAAATGTGGTGATAAAACTTTCCAAATCCCGTAAGTAAATATTTTAAACTTCCATATTAGTGAAAATGGAATTTCTATTATTTATAAACAATGCTCCGATGAAATCATTGATTGTGATACAATAAAACAAATCACATTGTTTTTAATGTCACATATAATTGATATTATTTATTAAACTGTAAGTGGCCAATATCTAAATATAACTGCTTAAAGCTAATAAATTGTATGTCAGTAGGTAAGTTTACCTAGGTAAGGTATACTTTTGGTGAAAATAAAATACCCTTAACTTTTTAATACATCTGTCATTTTTTTTATACATTTTCGGACAACTTTTAAACTTTGTTTCATTATAATTCTTAGATTTTTGTAATGTATGCATGATATGTCGTTAATATGAAAAAAAAGTTATAATAAATATTTAAAAAGTTATTATAATATACTGTCATAATATAAAAAGCTTTAATAAAATAATGAAATAAAAGTAAATTATTAAATATGTACTTTGTCTGTAACATAACTAACATAATGACTGATTCGGTCAAAAATCTGAATGCCCTGAAACCAATATCGTCAGTTTCAAGTTCACTTGTATTAGTTTAATATTTTCAATTTGAATTATTTCATATAAAAAATAAACTTTTTTTTAAAAGTGCGAAATTCAAAACCATCATAGGTAGGTACGTCATATCTGCATAAATTACAATATTTTGTATAATTCCAATCAAAAAAAAACTGTTCCGCGAATCTTCCTGTAACTTTAAAACAATTAAAAAAAATAATAAACTTAATAATATTATAGAACCAATAGCTTACTTATTTAGTTTCGAATTTTTAATTTACACCTTAACTTATCTGTGTTGTAAAATAACGTAAAAATAGTTGTATAATAACGTAAAAATATCTTTAACTTTGAAATCAAAGTAATTACCAACTACAATCATAAAAATAATAATCATTGTATTATTACAAGTGACTAAAAATAAACTTGAAAATGTAGTTTTCTTTTTATTGGTTTCAAAGAAAGTTATACTGGTCGTTTCAGTAACATTGATAATAATTATAGTTTTTATATAATATAGTTTACTTAAAAAGTTTGATTAAAATTATTTACAATTGTATCGTTCTTATTTTTATAAGCTACAGTTTGTACTTCCAAACTGTAACATTATATTGTAACTTGTAAGATATATTAATCATATGATGTAGGTACTAATAAGAATATATCCATGATTTGCACAAAAATATCAGTTTAATTTTTTATGTATTTAGTTTTTTTCATAAGTGTTATTACTTAACTAAAAATATTACAAGGATATCTAACTTAATTTATTGTGAAATTATATTTTACATAATTCATACATTTTTCTTTTTTTTTTACATCAAAGGAAGTTAGCCAAAATTAGTTTTTTATTCGGAGAATATGTTTTGTATACAAGTTTTTTTATTCTGTTTAATTTACAACATATTATTTTTAAATTAAAACTAATTCAGTAAAAAATATAATTTTTTTTAGTCATATTCCTAATTTACTTTCGATGTAAACTTAAATAATTATTTTTTAATCTAAATGTCAGTGACCCAGTAAAGATAAAACAAATATATTTTTTAAACTTGTTTCTGTATTTTGATCATCGTTAAGTAAATTTAATAATCTTAATACTTTAATATAATAAGTCTATACGTTTTAATATTCTATATTATACTAGTTTTCATATTACGTTTGGCCCCAGCTATATCAAATCATTGGTAGGTATAGACACATTAAAAAAAGCACTGTAACACGTTTTTATCAACAATAATTCTTTTAAATTCCAATACATTAATAATTAGGATTGGCCTAAACGCTTCAATTCGTAAATAAAGGATGGAGTTCTTAATACTCTAATGTTTTAGTACTCTCATTATTTTTCCTGGTAATATAGGTATGGTCAGAAATTATTTTAATAAGTATAATTATAAATAATTCTAGTATATTGCTAGATTTGATTATATTTATTTCCACAGTATATGTACTGAACGTTATTAATTATTATGATTTAAGAAAGTTCTGTTCACATCAATTTGTGAACAGATATTTGTTTTTGATTTGTTTTAAGGTTGAGTAGAATGATAAAAAAAATTAGATTACCGGTAATAGGATTTTTGAATGGAGAAAAAAACCACTGGGAATCTGATTTTGATTAGATTTTAAGTAGCAGTAGCTTCTCTCATAAAACTCTGACCCAACTCAATTACAATCTGGGGTACCATAAACCTACCCTGGGCTATCTTGTAACTGAAAATAAACTCCTTAGAGATTATCGGATCTAACCGACGATATATTTCATATTGATGATGAGGAATAGAAATTATATATTATGACGTTTAATATTTGTCTTGATACCAGTGACCACGTGATACAGACTACATTCCGCTGTTTGACAAAATGTCTGTTTAACAAATTTTATAATATGTAAAACTTAAAAGTTAAAACTATTTCTGATAGATCGGATAAATAATTTTGTTTTAAATTATATAGAAACGTGACGTTTAATATAAAAATAATATTTTTTTTCTTATTAATTAAAAATATAATTACAATCAATATACACAGAAGTGCACTAAGTAATTTTAATTAGATATCTCAGTACCTACTTACAATAATAAATGAGTTTGCGAGGGCACTCAGTAGTGCCACCCGACAGATTACATTAGACGATCTCTATTCTAGGATCGTTTTAAACGTCCCTGGAGGTTTTCAGGGGTTCTGTGAGAGGAAAGTCGGTTTATTCGAGGATTTTTATGGTGAATAAAAATCTATGTAGTATGATTTGGTTAATAGATAGAGAGAGCGTTGTGATTTTTAAGTCATACGTCACTGTGGAAATTATTATTTTTGATGAACTGAGGAGCAGAGACGATATGAAAAATGATTATAAAAAATATCCACCCATAATTTGATAAGAATTTTAAACATCGATCTAACATATTAAGTATTCCTAAGTTATATGATTATACACTAAATAATATTTTATTATTTTATACCAACAGTTTTTAAAATCGTAAATTACGAAGGACCTTTCATAGGCCATAGCCTATAATAGTAAATTACCACTGAATCGTTAGTTTAGAATTATAAATTGACTAGAGGTATCTAAAACAATATTAAATCTTATATTTTTAAATTATTTTTTAATTTCATTATAAATTCTACCCTAAAGTATAGTAAAATACCTAAATCTTATATTTTGAAAAAAAAAAATGAGTACGTTTTATGAAAAACTAGTGTGTATGTAAATAAGAATGTTTTCTTCCAACTTATATTAAAATGTGAACAAATCAAAAGAGGAGCCAAGTCTCTAGCACCACACTAAAACAAAAAATTAAAATGTTGAATCATTATTGTGATTGTAGAAAATAAAGCAGATAATACCGTGATATTTTTATTTTTAAATTAATACTTTGTTGTGCAGACCCCTTTCCACTTACCTTTCACTCAAAATCTAAAATAAATATTTGTAAGAATTTAATTTATATCTTATGTATTTTATAACTAACTCTATAACCAGATTTTACACTGGAAAAAAATAACAAACATAAAATGAGAGGTGCTATATCTGTGTATTTTGGATTTAGTGTACCTCAGCTCACGAGAAAATCGGCATCAGTGTACCTCGCTTTGTGAACTAATTTCAACCTAGATAGGCAATCTGCCGGTGGTGGATTGCATTTGGTATATTTTCGAACGTAGTTCAAACTACTCTTTAATCTTTCCTGATATCTCTAAGAATAATCTCTGAAACTTTCGTCAAAATCGGTTCAGTAGTTGTTGAGCCTACATTATATTATATAATATAGGCAATTGTCTTTTGTTTTAGGCCTGAACATTTTGAATAACAAACAAAAAATTAAATATTATTTTCTATTTAATAAAAATCCCATAAAAATCCCTCTATATTTTTAACAAAAAAAAAAAAATTCTTGAGCCAATATGAAATTCATGGGTGAGCCACCATATAGGAGTATATTCTATATCTATAACAATAAGCTACGGACACCCTCCAATTCTCAAGGAATCTATTGATAAAACATTTACTGAAAACTTTCCAGTATTTTCTGAGATCAGTGGGTTTAAACATAAAAACTCTTCAGCTTTATAATATTTTATGTACCTATATAATAGTGCATATAAAGATGAAATGTTTCATTATAATATTATGACTAACTGGAAATTGGGGAAGGGTTGATTTCCGTTTTGTGTGTAGTTGGTCTGAGCTTAGCAATTATTTATTTACCTACATAATTTTAAAATGAATGACATACATTTATCCCAGACAAAAAGGGAAATAACTATTACTGTGGAAATTAAATTTTATTGTTAAAAAATTTAACGGACTGTAATTCAGAGCATATTTACTGTATGATTTCCGTAAAAATGTAGGGAATAATCATTTTCAAGTATCACATTTATTGTGATGTTGTGTTAGTATATAGGTACTTAAAAAGTTAATGTATTATTATGTGATTTTCAATACGTTAATTTTTATATTGTTTTTCTACTTGACGTGTTCATTAATTCATCGTTTGCATCATTTGAGTTTGAAAATGAAATGTTTAAGTAAAACAGCGTTGGCCATTGTCGATCGTAGTTGTATTTCATTACATTAACTTGTATTGCAAATTGTTATTGTTTGTACTCATTTTCTAGACTATTTAGTTATTATATTAGTGAACTCGTTTGATAATATTATTTTAAGTAAAAGTTAGTTTAATAACACATAATAAAATTGCGGTATGCCACAGACGGACGATGATCGATCTAAATTCAATACATACAATGTATTTTTTTTTTGATCTTAAATGAGTAGAATAATTAAACATTAACACACAAAATAAAACTATCAAATATCAACATCACCCTTGCATTATCATAATATATAATATTATTTAATCTAGCGACAGCGAACACAGGTATTACATT